GTAGCTTTAACACTTGGTTCATCAGAACCGGTCCGTACCTGTTAGGGATATACCCTAGCAGAATGTGCACAGCAGTCAGGCATTCAGGCGAATATGAGAGAAAGCGTTTTTTAGTTTACACACTCAGTAAAAATGGATACACTGTCTTAGTTGAATAGTTTATTCCATTAAGAGTTTAGCAGGGTCAAACAGTCCAAATATCATTCACTAGTGTTCAGTCAGTTCAGTCCGGAGATTGTTCAATTGCAAAAATCCAGTGTCAAAATAAATCAGTTAACTTACAATGTCAATCCATAAATCAGTCCAGTAAATATCTTCTCACAGTGGATTAGATATGCAGCATTCAAAACTCTTTCCTCCTTCGACTTCAGCAACAGGGAACACGCAGAACAATCAACCATCAATCCAGTAAATATCTTGGTTCTCTAGCTCCCTCTTATGGCAGTTTCTCAACCGCACCCAAATTATATCATTTAGAGTTTAAAGTGAAAAGCACATTTAAACTTTGCTATCATGGTTTATATATTATTTACCCAAACAGCGTTAGGTAACTATGGTTATTCCTAACAGTACCAGTCGAATCCCACCCCTGGAGGAGACCCAAAGTCATTGGTAGCCTCGCAATGCAATGAGAAAGGACACACATGCAACTTTGCAGCTACTAGGATTGTAGGACAAGCAGGCACAAAAACAGCCAGAGGAGTGATTGAAGCCTGGCTCCTCATCCGTCAACAGGAGGGCTAATTTGCTGAGAGTGAAAGTTTAAGAAATGCTGTCCCAAAAGTGCTTTTTCAAGAGGCAACTGGACAACCGTGGCCTGGACGACTGAGAATCTGCATAGACGTTTAAGAAATGCTAATTTAATATAATTCCCGAATGAAGGCGTGTCCCACTTTTTAAAAATTACGGAGGACCCAAAGGAGCTTTTGGTTTGGATGGGTTGTATTTATCAATACTTATCCTCCTAAAATTAAAGTGATGCACTTGTAGAATGTTTATTTACTTGATCATAGTGATGGCTCAGGAATTCTAGGATAAATGACTAACTAGTCTTGTCTTAAAAGCCTCCAGTGATGAAGGTAATTTGTTCCACTGGTTAATTGTTGAAGTTGGGAGTTAAAATCCACAGGTCATAAAGTTGCTATACTGTAGTTGCCCGTCCTGCTTTAAACACAACTCTCTGTATGTGTCTTCAGTCAAGCACTCCCAGGGATGCATCAAATTTGATGTTGAGACTCTAGAAAGAGTGCAGAGAAGAGCAACCAAGATGATTAGGGGACTGGAGGCTAAAACGTATGAAGAACTGTTGCTGGAATTGGGTAGGTCTAATTTAATGAACAGAAGGACTAGGGGAGACATGATAGCAGTGCTCCAATATCTGAGGGGCTGCCCCAAAGAAGAGGGAGTCAAGCTATTCTCCAAAGCCCCTGAAGGCAGGACAAGAAGCAACGGATGGAAACTACTCAAGGAGAGAGGCAATCTAGAACTAAGGAGAAAATTTCTGACTATGAGAACAATTAACCAGCGTTCGCCTCCAGAAGTTGTGAATGCTCCAATACTGGAAGTTTTTAAAAAGATGTTGGATAACCATTTGTCTGAAGTGGTGTAGGGTTTCCTGCCTAGGCAGGGGGTTGGACTAGAAGACCTCCAAGGTCCCTTCCAACTCTGTTATTCTATAAATTTAGCCCTGCCTTGCCAATTTTCTCCGGCTTCTATAGTAACCCAGTTTCTCCTTGGCCTGCACTACTGTGAGAGAAGCTATCTGCCCTAGCTTTAAACCACTGCATATTTAGAGGGTATCCTTTGGATGCCCTCTTCAGCTGCAGAGAACCAGTTAGCAATTTTTTTTTTTTTTTTAAAAAAGCTTCATTCCATCAAAGTCCAACTTCCCGACTGCACGGAAAGAGGTCACGTGCAGAGTTCAAATTCCAGCTAGGTTGGCCAAACGCAGATTTGACAAGAAGGTGCTTTACTGAGGTGCCTTCAGAGGGGACCAGCTCTATTTGTGCCAAATCCATGAAGAGCCAGCCCAGATCCAAGAGGATTCATCCATTACTGTACCGCAAGAACGGCATTTGTTGAACCATTGTTGAATAATTCACAATGGGGTGGATTTCTGCAACAATAGGAAGCCACAAAACAAGAACCCACTTATTTCAAGTGACAAATCACATCTCCACACATTGAATTTAGTTGAGTTTACTTTATTGTCATTGCACCTCGTACAACGAAATTAAATACCATCTTCAGTGTACATTATGACTATAAAAATAAACACAAACACACATCCTTCACATTCCATACATTGAATTGAAAACCTCTGATATTGCATAAAAGAATAAAAGTCTTGGCATGAAAATTTCACACCTATCCTTCTGGGGATGTTGCCGTAGCCTAAAATGTAACCCTGGGAGTGTTCTGCTTTTGCCATAAACCATGGTTCCAAATCAGAGTTTATGTAACTTCTAGGAATTTAAGGGTATCTATTGGTTAGTTTCACCCATTGAACTATGCCTCAAGTTAGTTGGGAGATAATATGGGGCATAAACTCAATTTCAGGGACTCATCAAGCAAGGTTGACCTTGACCCCAGAAACCATGTTTCAACCATGTTAAGGCAAACAATGCAAAATCAATCACCAAGTTTCAGGACAACAGTCAACATCCTGCTGTCATAGGGAAGAGTTTACCTCCAGTCATTGGGAGAAGCTGGGCTAGCCAAGAGGTCTTTAACAGACAGATTCCTATGCAATTGAAAAACAAATGTGATAGATTTATTTGTTAAATTCACATCTTGCCTTAAAGGTAAAGGTAAAAATAAAGGTTGCCCTCGCACATCCTTGCTAGTCATTTCCGACTCTAGGGAGCTGCATTTTTTACATGCTTTCAAACTGCGAGGTTGGCAGGAGTTAGGACAAGGAACAGGAGCTCACTCTGTTACGCGGCGCTAGGGATTCGAACCGCCAAACTGCTGAGCTTTTTGATGGACAAGCTCAGCGTCTTAGCCACCGAGCCACCGCATCCCTTTTATCTTGCCTTACTTCGAGGGAGTTTTCACAGTCCAGAACCCCTATCACCCAGTGAGAAGGCTGGGCTGAGAAAAGAAATACCATTCATTCAATGACTGTAGGAAGTTACAACATCATTGAAAAAAGCGATTTATGAGCATTTTTGACACTTATGACCATTGCATAGTCATGTGATCAAAATTTGACGCTTGGCAACTGACTCATATGTATGACAAGTTGCCATTTCTGGGGGGTGGGCGATCACCATTTGCAACTTTTTGACAAAGTTGAATCTGAGAAATCAGATTCACTTTGCAGCTGTTACTAACTTAACCATTGAATTTATTCTTTTAACAACGGTGGTAAAAAAGCTCATAAAATGAGGCACAAACCACTTTAACAACTCTCTTTCTTAACCACAGGGATTTGAGCTCCATTGTGGTCGTAAGTTGAGGACTACTTGTGCCTGGTTGCATATTTGCCTAGTGGCTCCCAATGGTGCCAAATGTGAAAGGTCACGCCCACATCTTGAAGGTCCAAATAACGGATTTATCGCAAAAAGGCCTATACCCAGGAATCTTCTCAACTCACAGTTTGCACCTGCTTGGAGTTAGATAAGGGCCAATGGAATCCAAGGGAGCTTGGACTTAGTCCACTTGTGACAATGTGAGGATTCTAGGCTGATCTCTTTTTTAACTCCACCCCCCCAGGCTTTGCCACTCCTTCCCCTACACATGGGTGGAGTAAAATCTAAATTTCCCTGCTCTCAACCCAACAATTTCATCCCTAAATCACCCTGGGTTTTGGTCCAAGTTGGAAGGATTGCTCCATATTCCCCTCTGGCTAAACTGAGACAAGGATGTGGATTTCCCATCTTATAATCCAACGTCTTTTGCCCCATTCTGGGCAGTGGTGGGATTCAATTTTTTTTTACTACCGGTTCTGTGGGTGTGGCTTAGTGTGGCTTGGTGGGCGTGGCTTGGTGGGCATGGCAGGGGAAAGATACTGCAAAATCCCCATTCCCTCCCCACCCCACTAACCTGCTTTCCAGCTCCGTTCTCCTGTTCAGGGCAACCAAAGAAGACCGAGCCGATCAGGTGGGACTCAGGAGGCAGAGAAGAGATGGAGGTGGGGCCAGCCAGAGGTGGGATTTGCTGGTTCTCCGAACTACTCAAAATTTCTGCTACTGGTTCTCCAGAACTGGTCAGAACCGGCTGAATACCCACCTCTGGTTCTGGGTCTGCACTATTTGTCAGATACTGGTTCTCTCTAATCCACAGAACTGCTCCCTTTGTGGCCTCTTCTTCTCCGGCTGCACCAGTTCTTTTTCCCCGTGGCTTTTAAAGCCCTTCAGCCCAGCCACATAGGGCAAAGCAAGTGGGGTGAAGAATTGGGGGGTGAGAAGCTCAGCCTACCCAGTGTGTGCAAGTTGAAAAGAGAGACAACAAAAGCCGGCAACAATGAGTAACAACGATGATTACAGATCTGGAAGATAAACACATGACGGACGATGGCAGGAATGTTGTGGGTAGGTCTCTAGTCTAAGAAAAACTAGGGGTGACATGATAGCAGTCTTCCAATATTTGAGGGGCTGCCCCAAAGAAGAGGGAGTCAAGCTATTCTCCAAAGCACCTGAAGGCAGAAGGAATGGGTAGAAACTAATCAGGGAGAAAAGCAACCTAGAACTTTCCTGACAATGAGAACAATTAATCAGTGGAATGAGTTGCCTGTAGAAGTTGTGGGTACTTCATCACTGGAAGTTGGGCCACCATTTGTCTGAAATGGTTCTTCTACTTGACAAGAGGTTAGACTAGAAGACCTCCAAGGTACCTTCCAAGTCTGTTATTTTGTTATTCTGAAGCCATTATCAAGAGACTTGGCCCTTTGCACAGCCCCTGACCCATGGCCCCACCTGCATTGCTGGGCAAATATTTGCGTTTGCCCAAACAAGGTTAGACTTGCTCAAGAGGCTGCAAAACACTACACAACCAAGAGGATTTGTGGTTTGCCTTTTTCGCACAAGAGCACCCCTCATAGTCCTTTGAACTTGGATCTATAGCGGGGGGGAAAAATCCACCCTCAGTTCTGAATGGTGTGGAACCGGACATATTAAATTTTTGCTATTCTCTGGAAGGGGAAGGGGAAGAAAAATGAAGTTTCTTGTTGCTTCTTTTCTGGTGCTGCAGCTGCTGGTTGTGTTGGAAATCCAAAGTTTTGACTTTGTTGTGGAAGAAGAGCCAAAGGTAAGAGTTTTTTTATCCTGGGCAATCAACCTTGTGTGTCTACAGGGAGTTGACTTTAACACAATCGGCTGAATGAAGATTGAACTGTCTTTATTATTCCTCCTCCTGCATGATCTTGTAGAAATGATCCCCATATAACTTTCAGTCCTAATATTGATTAATAGAAAAATTCAGATAAGAGAAGAGATCCATGACTTCTAAGAAGGAAGCCCTACAATGTTGAAGGGGCTTAATACAGGCAGTGCTGAACTTACAAGCACAATTGAACCCCAGATTTATGTGGTGACGTAGTTGTTAAGTGAGTTTTGCTCGATTTTGCGACCTTCCTGGCCACAGTTGTTAAGTGAACCCCATTGACTTGGCTTGCCGAAGCCAGCTGGGCAAGTTGCAAATGGCGATTATGGGAGCCGGACATTGCAACACTGGTAAATACGGTGTTGGTTGCCAAGTGTCCAAATTTGGATCATGGGATAGTGGAGAATACTTGTGTTGGTTGTAAATGTCAGTTATAAATCTCTTTTAGTATGTGTGCAATTGTCACGAAATGATCTGTTCTAAGTTGAGGATTACATGTATTCTGTACAAGATTTTTAAATATGCCATGGTTTTATTTAACAGGTGAATCAATGTCCCATTCCAAATATATTGTGGAATATAATATATTGTAGGCTTTTGCTGGGTACACCATGCAAAGAGCAAACAGCTGACTAAATAGGACGGATGTTGTAAGGTGGGGATTGTTGCTGCGGATTTCTGCTATGGCAGAACTGTTGGACTAGATGATCTCCAAGCTCCCTTCCAGCTCTTATATTCTGTTATACCACGCACATACCACACAAAACTCCATTCGAGTTAGGTTAACATTAACCAAGCTTCACATGGTTTACTACAGAGTTATAAAGGGGAATTGTTAAGTCTGTCATTTGTACCTCTATAACTTTCTAGTTTGATCCAGCAACCAAACAGGACAGACAAAGATTTCAATGGATAGTTAGGACTGCAGAAAAAGCTTTTGCCAGCAGCCTGCCATCCATTGAGGATCTGTATACCGCAGAATCGGAAGGAGGTCTCAGAAAATATCTGCAGACCAGAGGTGGTACTCAGCAGGTTCTGACCAGTTCTCGAGAACCAGTAGTGGAAATTTTGAGTAGTTCGGAGAACCGGCAAATACCACCTCTGACTGGTGATTTTACAGTATCCTTCCTCTGCCATGTCCATCAAGACACACCCACAGAACCGGTAGTAAAAAAAAAATTGAATCCCACCACTGCTACAGACCCTTCACATCCTGGACATAAACGGTTTCAACTCCTCCCTTTGGGACACTGCTACAAAATATTGCATACCAAAACAATTAGACACAGGGACAGTTGTTTCCCTGGTGCCATCACAATGCTGAACACCAAATTCCCACATCACTGTCTTATGTCTAAGTGTGTTTACCCATGTAGTAGGGCTATGTTACTATTAGCCTTCTCACATTTCCTATTACCTACTCCTATTGGTAACACTATTATGGTTATTGTTACTCTATTGTTTTGCATGTTCACCGAGAGCTTCTGCACCAGAGACAAATTCCTTCTGTGACTAATCACCAGATGGCCAGATGTTCTGTTCTATTTTCTATTCTATTCTACTCTATTCTTCCTTCCTTCCTTCTTCTCTTCTCTTCTCTATTCTACTCTACTCTATTCTTCCTTCCTTCCTTCTTCTCTACTCTACTCTACTCTACTCTATTATTTCTTCCTTCCTTCCTTCCTTCCTTCCTTCCTTCCTTCCTTCCTTCCTTCCTTCCTTCCTTCCTCCTCCCTTCCCCTCCCCTCTCCTATTGTATCCTATCGTATCGTATCCTATCCTATCATACCCTATCGTAACCTATCATATCCTATCATACCCTATTGTATCCTATCGTATCCTATCCTATCCTATCCTATTCTATTCCTTCTATGGAATATTTGTAGCTCAAGATTGAATGATGGGGTCCTTGGTGCTCTCTGAGCTTGATTTTTTTCTTGCAGACGTTTCATTACCCAAAGCAAGTACAGAGTGAGGTTCCTATTTTATTCTATCCTATTCCTATAGCATCCTTTAAGTTTTTACCTGACCTGGTTAACATCTCCCTAAAAAATAATCTGTGTATCCAGCCATTTGTTGCTGCCAAGATCAGTGGATGCTTTTCTGCCTACCGATGATGTGAGAAAGAGAGAGCAAAGGTAGAGAGCTTAATTAGTACCTTTGCTTAACACACTGCGTACGCCCAAACTCAGGATACCATAATCTGCCCTCAAACCAGAACAGAGAGCAGAGTCTAGATGGGAATCAGCAAGATCAAGATCACAGGAAGTGTTAGTACCACTTTATAAGGCCATGGTAAGACCGTATTTCGAACGTTACATCCACTTTTGGTCACCATGATATAAAAAAAAGATGTTGAGACTCTGGAAAGTGTGCAGAGAAGAGCAACTAAGAGGATTAGGGTATTGGAAGTTAAAATGTAGAATGAAAAGTTTCAGAAACTGGGTATGTCTAGTCTACCAAAGAAAAAGACTATAACAGAGTTGAAAGGGACCTTGGAGGTCATCTAATCCAACCCCCTGCTTAAGCAGGAGACCCTACATCAGGGGTGTCAAAATTCAAGGCCCATGGGCTGGTTCTGCCCCACAAGGTGCTTAAATCTGCCCCATGGGGCCGGTCTGGAAACAGTGAAGGGCTGGCCCAGCCGTGGTGCCTCTGCCAGTGAAAATGGAGCTCAGGGGGGCTGCACACTTACCCACCCACACACACACACCAGGCTCCAGTTTTTGCTGGCAGAGGGCTAGCAAAACTAAACTAAAACACAAAACAAAAGGAGAAATGGTTCCCTTTTTGTATTTGAGCATACAAGAAGGGGGTCAGGAAAGGAGAAAGGCAAAGAGGAAAGGCAAAGAACAAGATAGGAAGAGAGCAAAGAAGGAAACATAAGGAAATGGGAGAAGAGAATGAAGAGGAAAGGAAGGAAGGAAGGAAGGAAGGAAGGAAGGAAGGAAGGAAGGAAG